AGCGCATTGACACCAGCCAACTGACAAAGCCAGCTGTTCTGAATGCGTATCGAAGTACGCTGACATGCGAGTTGAGTAACCACTCACTGGAGACAATTGATGGTCACTGGTCACATGTTCGCCAGACCTTACAAGCAGCAGGCAAATCCTCATGTGGTATGTCCAATAGCCAACATGGACATTGGGTCTCTTCTCGGTCTCTGGAACTTATCGACGCTCGCCGGCATATTCCGGCTGGAAGTGAACACAATGAAACTCGCAAAGAGCTCCGGGCAAAACTCCGCGCTAGCCTGAAGAGAGACCGCAAATCCTGGTGGTCTCATCGTGCATCAGAAATGGAAATGGCTGCTGCCCTTGGCAACCATCGGAGGTTATTCCGTCTGATACGGGAAACGGGCAGCAGGAGACCTGGTGTTAGTGAAACAATTTGTGATGAGAGTGGACAGCCTATCCACAATTTGTCAAAACGTTTGAAGCGTTGGGCTGAGCATTTTGAAAAGCAATTTAATCGGCTAGAATTGTTCGATTCACCGGTCACTGATCGCCCTGCTCCGTGGGCTGTCCCTTTGGATCCACCCTCTCGCTCAGAAGTCGAACGTGAGATCGGACTGTTGAAGTTAAATAAAGCCGAGGGACCTGATGATCTTCCTCCAGCCCTCTCTTCGAATTCGAGAAACCTGCTCTTGTGGATGATTCTCACGAGATACTAGTCAAACTGTGGGAGCAGGAAACTGTCCCAACTGATTGGAGCCGCTCCGACATAGTCCCAATTTGTAAGGGAGGCTCGCGATCGGAATGCGGCAAACATAGAGGAATCAGTCTGATCTCCATCGCCTCCAAATTGCTCGCCTCTGTCATCCTTCACAAACTGACTGGCACTCGTGAAAGCCAGATTCATGAAGAGCAAACTGGATTTCGTCGAGGTCGTGGCTGCACTGACCACATCTTCACCTTGCGTCAGCTGTTGGAGCACCGTCACGTATATTGGCGGCCCACCGTTGTCGTGTTCCTCGATATCAAAGGTGCCTTCGATTCGGCTGATCGATGTGCCCTTTGGAATTGTCTACTCAGGAAAGGTGTGCCCGAAAAATATGTAAATATTATCCAAGCATTATGTGCGCATAGCATGGGCAGAGTGAGGTGGACGGCAAGTTGTTGCCACCCTTCAATATCTCCAGCGGTGAGACAAGGATGCCCGTGTCACCTTTCCTCTTCAACTTCGCCATTGAAGAAATTATGGATATTGCATTTGCAGGACATGACTTGGAGGGTGTGGAGCTAGTCCCCGGAGAACGGCTTCTTGACTTGGAGTATGCTGATGATATTGTCCTAAACTGTAAAAACTCACAAACCTGTGAAGCGGCACTGGACAGATTAGCACTAGCTGTCCATCAATCCGGGCTTCGCTACGCACTCTCGAAGTGCAAGGAGTTCCCCCGAGATTGGCACGGATCGCCTCCTGCGCTGACCCTTGGTGGGGATCAGCTAGAAGTCGTTCAGAAATTCAACTACCTAGGAAGTTGCATCAGCGCCTTTGGGATCGAAGACGAGATCACGAACCGTATAGCGAAAGCTCGAAGTGCTTTTGTTAACCTTCACCACGTATGGCGGCGGCGCGACATTACTCTCGCCCTGAAGGGTAGAGTGTACAATGCAGCGGTATGTTCGACCCTACGGTACGGTTGCGGAACCTGGCCCCTAAGATCGGCCGACATGAAGAGGCTAGTTACGCTCGACCATCGGTGCCTTCGCAGTTTGGCTCACACCTGGTGGGAACACCGCGTGAGTAACGAGCGTGCTCGACGCTTTGTTTACGGCACAGGAAAAAAACTGAACCGCTCAGCACCGTCATTTCACGCACCAGACTCCGATGGCTGGGCCACGTGTCACGCATGCCAGCCCACCGACTTCCACGACGTGCGTTGTTAGCTCACCGGGGATGCGGATGGAAGAAGAGGAGGAGTGGCCAAGCGATGACTTGGTCCAGAGGAATGAAGGCCCTCACTTCGGAGCTGGCCTCGGATAGAGCGTCATGGCTTCCTGGTTGGGGTCCAAAAGACGGTGAACACGTTTGGCTGGATACACTTGCTGACATGGCAAGGAGCCGAGCTCAGTGGCGTTCCTGCTGTGAGTTTCTTTGTCGCTTCCCATCCCTTTTAGCCTCCCCCTCCAACCACAATCTCATTTCGTAGCGTAAAACATACTAATTTTTCTTTTCGCCTAGTAGTCGGCTGGTAGCTCTGCTGGCATGCAACTTTTGTATTTATTTTCCTTTTTCCTTTATGTAGTTCGGCACAGTAGCTGAGGTGTTTCCCACCTCTAGCTGACGTGTATAATGATGATGATGAGTGGAAAGCTGATGCCACACCGCCGACTTCGGAGGAGATTCGAAATGGGCTTACCGTGTTGAAACGATGTAAGATACTTGGACCAAACGACCGTGCTCCATCTGGGATGAAAATGGTGACTCTTTGGTGGTTGGAGTTGGTGCTCAATTGGAACACTGAAGTGCTGCCTTCAGAATGATTCAGCTGTCGTGCCCATCTTCAACAAATTTCGTGCAAAAACCATCGAGGCGTCAGTCTTATTTCTATTGCCTCAAAACTTCGACGATTTAATGATCGTCATGACAGCCGATTTCTTAAAAAGCCGGACTGGTTGCCGCCTTGATCGTGGTTGCATGGACTACATTCACAGGTACAGATGGCCCAGTATGGTGGTTTTCCTCGACTTGAAATAAGCCGTGGACTCTGTTAATCGTGCCACCCTGTGGCACTGATTATCCGTGAAGGGTGTACCTTGAGAACTCTTTTCCATTCCGAAGTGCCTTCCGAGGCCGGGTAAGAGAAGATGTCTCCTGAGTTCCGCATGACAAGTAGGGTTCGCTAACGTTGCCCTGCATACACTATCTATCGTTTGTGATCATATAGACTCCGTTACTTCAAGCACTTCCGGAAAAAAAAACTTTGTCAGGAGACCGATTGACAAAGTTTGAGCATGCAGACGAAGTTGCTATATTTGGTTTGGATTAGACCCTGTGGCTTGATCAGCATTACTGTACAGACTGACACGTAGCACCTCAAGCTGTGGCATAGGCTTTTCACCTATCAAGTGCGAAGTATTGTTGAAGGACTGGACCGATACGGCGCCGGTTTTCTATCAACTAACAAACATTGGAAATGGTCAATCGGTTCACTTTCCTTGGTAGTTGTGTCGCCTCTGGTGGTCACATTACTGAGGGTTGCTTCAACAATAAGGACCGCGTAGCTTCTCAGAGATAAGCATCCATAAAAGCAGGACATCACACTGTCGGTGAAAAGTAGGGCGTACGGCGCTTCGATAAGGCTGGTATTATCGCATGGTCGGTTCGTAGCCTAACGCGAACGAGCTTGTCTTGTAATCTGACTGCGCCGGTCCGGGCCTGCGTAGGAGCAGGACGATCCTCGCAGTATCCTTAGCCCACGTGCGACCGGTAGTGGTTGTGCGGTAGCGAAGCGTCGGTACTGCGTACCGGCGTAGCGCTGATGCCTTTTATTAACGCATGTATCAGAGACCTATCCAGTTCGCACAGAAGAGATTAAATGACCGGCAGTGTATGATCACTGGTGTTTGCGTAGTATTGATCACATCTGGTTGGAACACCGGGAGAGCAATGCCGAGATCAGCTAGTTGGGTTTTAGCAAGAAACCCACAGATATCATTAATCGAACGCCCACTAGAACTTAAGTGCTTGTGTTAGATCTTCACGTTATCTCACTATTCCGAATTTAGCACCCAAAAATGCTCCGCAAGAATTCTAGCCCAGCCGAAAAAAATCAGAAGTCCAACGAGCTTGACCGCGAAAAACAAGTTAACGAAAACGCTGTCAAACGTAGCCAAAAAGCCGCCAAAACGATGTATAACTGCGTCAGACCTACGCCAATGGCCTTCGGCCTCTGGAAAACAAAGGTCAGCTGGTAAAAATAGCAGCCTAATTAGCAAAACTCCGTATGCTGGCAAGCACGTGAAGAAATGGAAGGTCTGGAATCTTCGAAATCGATGTACAATCGAAGATAAGCGATTAATTATCAAAATAATGGGTTTTTCTTGATGTGTTTACCTTTTCCAGGATATCCTGTGCAGGCTTACTTATATCCTCCGTGTGTCCATTGACCGCCTTCCTCTGTCGGTAGCTTGCCTCGCAATCCGGAGATCGCCGATTCAAGTCCCAGTAGGTACAGGCGATCTCGCGACATACCCAGCCCACGTGCGACGGTGGGTGGTCGCGCGGCACAGAAGCGTCGGTACAATGTGCCGGCGTATTGCTAACGACTTCCACGGTAAACATTATACACCGCAGCTGAACCAAGAGGAGTGGAACTGCGAGAAAGCCAGTCGATGATGTGGCACAAAGGCATGGAGAAATTTAATCAGGCTGGTGTGTGTCGCCTTGGTAGATGAGGACCTCGAGCTGGTCCACATCAGTAGTTGGGAACTCCATCAGATATGGTGCAGTCGCGCAATCGCATTCTTGCATCCAACTATTAATCCACACTCCATCCCAATCAGCTCTATGCAGTTTTAACTCTATTTTCTTTGTGTCAGGTTTGCGTACAACCAAATTTTCGTACCAGTGTCACCTAATGTTATCGTGGAAACTGGACCCACCACACTTGGGTGACCGGATCATAGTAGTTCAAGTGAACTAGAATGAATTGGGTTATCGCTTCGTAGATTATGGATACGACAACCTTAATTGCAATGGAGTGAACAACCGGAACTTCATAAAAACGAGTGAATTAAAAGGCAGACTAGTGTGCACAGGATTGAACAGCCAAATACAAAAAGGGCTATGTAAGTTGGTAAAACAGACTGCGAACATTAAGTGCTATGGCGAAAACGTCAACTAATGGAGTATACTATCCTGCCTTTTAAGTAGCTTTCTTAGCTCAGATACTGATGGCTCGGTATGTAGTGTTGATAGAAAATTCAACGCATCCGAAATATTTTATGGTTGGCATTCAGGCGACTACAACAGGTTTGCTGCTTTCACTTTTCATTCGTTTGTTAGAAGCAGTATGTTCCTCTTGCGATTTTCGTTTCAATTCTCTTCGTTTGGATTTAGCCTTTTGAATAGCTCGTTGACGAGCAATACGTAAGTTTTTCTCACCGATGGCGAACGGATTCAACTTGATGAGAGCCTGTAAAATGAGAGAATGGCGGAGTAGTTAAAACGATACAAAGTTTGCCACAAAACCAGGAATAAGCAAACAAAGTGATCAAACAGAAGGTCAAACAGTAAAATGCGACAGGACACGAAAATGAAGTCATTAAATGTCCCACAAGGCAGATTTGTTCCACCGACTAACCTGCATGTTCTTCAGTGGGTTTTTCTTAACTTTCGGTCCGGGACGTTGACAATGCATTCTTCGTGGGCGCAAAACTGAGGTGACCTCGCGGCAGTGGAGCAAGCGCCCCAAATCAGAGTTCGTCATTTTAGGCATTGGAAGATGGAAACCTGACTTCTTCACACTTCCGGTCTTCCAAGTGCCATATAGCTTATCGAGTTGACGGAAGGCTCCAGCAGACCAAATGGCCAAACGTCCCATGTGGCCACCAGGTGCCAACTTCAGCAAATTGAGAGCACTTACGTTCAAAAGTGTAACACCTGTAAATGCGTCAGTGCAAGTATAAGACTTAACCTGGAATATTTCTGAATGCTCTGACAACTCCGTCGTTTTTGCGGAAAATTATGATTGGCCCACGTTTCTGAATACGACGCCGGTTGCGCATTTTTCCCCTCCCAGCTCGAAAGCGCTGAGAGTTGTAAACTTTCTGGATGTCCGACCAAGCCTTTACGGACTTCAACAACTTGACGGCATCCTTAGTTTTCTTAACCGACTCGATTTCATCGGAAACCACCAAGGGGATTTCCGGAACTCGGTCAATACGGTGACCGCGAGCCATTACCAAAGGGGTTACACCAGTAGCTGCTATTGCGCTGCATATTGCGTAGCGACGTTGATGAACATTGATTCGACGATGCCAGCGCCGCCATACCTTAGTCGGGGCGAACATATGACCACCGCGACACATGTTACCAAAAGCGCCTTGGCCGGAACGGTGCGTGCCCCCTCCCCGGACACGAGGTATTCTAGCGACTGCTCTGCCAGTACCCCAAGATTCAGCGGATGTCTGGTGTCCAGCCTTTTCACTGACTGCGTATGGTTGTCGGGAATTTTTTCTCATCTGGTCATGCACGAAGTTCAGCAGGTCACTGCGAAGGGGAACGGAGAACACCGACGGCATCTTCACAGTAACTCCCGAAGCAGTGCCATCCACCTTGAACACGTTAACAACTGGTCGCGTTACGGCCTAAAAATGGGACAAACACAATAAAAGAACGAAATATGTCAGTATGGAAAACAAAAGTTGCTAATTGTAGACGTTGAAAGATAATGTGACATCGCACACGGATAAAGGGAACTGTGACAATAAACAACCTTTTATCCCTTTAGATGACTTGACTAGGAACGTACAAGGTAGACCACTAGGATAGGGTAGATGGCAAAGCTGTTCTAGGTGAATCAATTAAAGGAGTAATCGTTCAGTTCAAGGGTTAGGTCAGGATTCTGGCCTTGACAAATGACGCTACGTCGACTTATGACGGTACGGACATCAAGGTGGGACAAGGTCTACTGATACGAAATGGAATGGAAAAGAATATGAGAGCAATATGAGAGGAACATGGACAAAAGTAAAGACAGTAAGGTGAGAAGCATCCCATGGCTATCAGAGAGAGTAAGCAGCTATAACAGACCAAAAGTAATAACGAAAGTGGTTTGTTGGGTAGGCAAGCACGATAGAATAGGTAGAAAAGGAATGATCTAAGTTCAAAGACCTAGGCAACTGGACCGATTCTGCAGTGATACTTGATAGTCATTCTAGGACCGCATAAAACAAAGCGCGAGCGCAGCAAGCGGGTAATCATTCTAGGAAATAGCCTGTTCAGTGTAGCCGGGCGAGGTTCGTTTTAATGCAACGTGTTAAGGGCAGGTGGTGTAAAAGTGCACCACATGAGTTTCAGCCATCGCAATGAGGCTGGACCTTACCGTGGTGCGATGGTTTGTGTGCCTCAGCGATCCATTGAGCTATGCTGGGTGATGCTTTTGCACCTCCAGTCACTCATACCAGATTGGCCAATGGTTAGAGGCCAGACAAACTCAGCCTCCTGGTCCTCCAGGTTGGGGGTTGGAATGAGGGTGGCACCTTTTTCCTTAAAACGGACTCCTTGTAGCCCAACGCCAAAGCCGCTGCCTTGCGGTCAGGTTTTTGAACCAATGACTTTGGTTGAGAACCCTAATCGTTCTCCTGTCTAGGCCTGAGCAACCTGACAGTATCCTGACCACGCAATACTATGAATCTTACTTCAAACAATTCCTTGATGCTCTGGCCACCGAAGAGGATAATCAACGGTGCCCCATCTTCTGCATCGAGCAGGGTGGATAGGGGTTTGGATGCTACTGCTCAAGCCTTCCCGTCTTCTTATTCCCCTCTTACGCTTTTTCACTCTTACCGTCCCCTTCCAATTTCACTTATATCCACCCAGTTTTCAACCCGCGATTCTTCGCCCTCCCCCAACATGCTTTGCTAGGCATTTATCTTCTAATTTCAACTCACATGTGAACGCGGAGTGTCACTCCTCTCCTGTCGACAAGCCCATGTCCAACCAAGCTGTCCATTCCAGTTCATCGGCTCCCATTTGGAGCCCTCTATCCTCCTTCAGATTGGCATGCCTCAATGTACGCTCACTGCTACAAATCGGTCAACAGACAGCACTTGCCCGAACATTGGAGACCCTCTCGATCGACATCTGCTGCTTATCAGAGACTCGCCTGCAAGACTCGAGCACTGTGCTCACTCTGCGATCTCCTTCAGGTGACACCAGCAACACTTTCTCACTGCGCCTATCCGGTGACGATGCAGCTTCGAGCACCGGCTAAGCCGGCGTTGGTATTACCCTGAGTCCCCGGGCTGAAGCTGCTCTGCTTGATTGGATTCCAATCAGTAGCCGGATGTGTGCGGTCCGATTGGCTGGCTAGTTCAAAACTTCGAAGTCGCGCGGGACTAACAGGTGTCTATTCATCATCGCTGCCTATGCGCCCACAAACTGTAGCGATGACTCCGTAAAAGAAGACTTCTATCATCAACTGAACGAGCTCCTTCGCCACAGAAGAAGCAGGGACACCGTTGTGCTGGCGGGGCATCAGAACGCGCAAGCTGGAAAGTTGTCCACTGATGAACTGCATCTGGGTGGTCAACACGGTGTAGGCTCCCGTAATAACGGTGAGTGGTTACTTCATTTGTGTGAAGATGCTCGCTTATTTCTTGCGAGCACAGCACCCGCCGGAGGGTGACTTGGCGCCCACCAGCCTCGAACCAGACTTGGACACAAATCGATCACATTGCCATCAGTTACCGCTGGAGAGGCTGCATCCAGAATTATCGCTCGATTTGGAGCACATGTGCAGACATCGATCATGCACTTGTATGTGCTGACATGCGGATGCGTTTTGACGGACGCTCACGACGACGATGTGAGCGCATTGACACCAGCCAACTGACAAAGCCAGCTGTTCTGAATGCGTATCGAAGTACGCTGACATGCGAGTTGAGTAACCACTCACTGGAGACAATTGATGGTCACTGGTCACATGTTCGCCAGACCTTACAAGCAGCAGGCAAATCCTCATGTGGTATGTCCAATAGCCAACATGGACATTGGGTCTCTTCTCGGTCTCTGGAACTTATCGACGCTCGCCGGCATATTCCGGCTGGAAGTGAACACAATGAAACTCGCAAAGAGCTCCGGGCAAAACTCCGCGCTAGCCTGAAGAGAGACCGCGAATCCTGGTGGTCTCATCGTGCATCAGAAATGGAAATGGCTGCTGCCCTTGGCAACCATCGGAGGTTATTCCGTCTGATACGGGAAACGGGCAGCAGGAGACCTGGTGTTAGTGAAACAATTTGTGATGAGAGTGGACAGCCTATCCACAATTTGTCAAAACGTTTGAAGCGTTGGGCTGAGCATTTTGAAAAGCAATTTAATCGGCTAGAATTGTTCGATTCGCCGGTCACTGATCGCCCTGCTCCGTGGGCTGTCCCTTTGGATCCACCCTCTCGCTCAGAAGTCGAACGTGAGATCGGACTGTTGAAGTTAAATAAAGCCGAGGGACCTGATGATCTTTCTCCAGCCCTCTTTCAAATTCGAGGGACCTGCTCTTGTGGATGATTCTCACGAGTTACTAGTCAAACTGTGGGAGCAGGAAACTGTCCCAACTGATTGGAGCCGCTCCGTCATAGTCCCAATTTGTAAGGGAGGCTCGCGATCGGAATGCGGCAACCATAGAGGAATCAGTCTGATCTCCATCGCCTCCAAATTACTCGCCTCTGTCATCCTTCACAGACTGACTGGCACTCGTGAAAGCCAGATTCATGAAGAGCAAACTGGATTTCGTCGAGGTCGTGGCTGCACTGACCACATCTTCACCTTGCGTCAGCTGTTGGAGCACCGTCACGTATATTGACTGGCCACCGTTGTCGTGTTCCTCGACATCAATGGTGCCTTCGATTCGGTGGATCGATGTGCACTTTGGAATTGTCTACTCAGGAAAGGTGTGCCCGAAAAATATGTAAATATTATCCAAGCATTATGTGCGCATAGCATGGGCAGAGTGAGGTGGACGGCAAGTTGTTGCCACCCTTCAATATCTCCAGCGGTGAGACAAGGATGCCCGTGTCACCTTTCCTCTTCAACTTCGCCATTGAAGAAATTATGGAGATTGCATTTGCAGGACATGACTTGGAGGGTGTGGAGCTAGTCCCAGGAGAACGACTTCTTGACTTGAAGTATGCAGACGACATTGCCCTCATCGGTGACAGTTCCTAGACGTGCCAAGCCACGCTGGACAGATTAGCACTGGCTGTCAGTCGTTTCGGGTTTTGCTTTGCACCACCGAAGTGCAAAGCGTTCCTCCAAGATTGGCACGAATCGCCCCCTGTGCTGACCCTTGGTGGGGATCTGCTAGAAGTCGTTCAGAAATTCAACTACCTGGGAAGTTGCATCAGCGCCTTTGGGATCGAAGACGAGATCACGAACCGTATAGCGAAAGCTCGAAGTGCTTTTGCTAACCTTCACCACGTATGGCGGCGGCGCGACATCACTCTCGCCCTGAAGAGTAGAGGGTACAATGCAGCGGTTGCGAAACCTGGCCCCTAAGATCGGCCGACATGAAGAGGCTAGTTACGCTCGACCATCGGTGCCTTCGCAGTTTGGCTCACACCTGGTGGGAACACCGCGTGAGTAACGAGCGTGTTCGACGCTTTGTTTACGGCACAGGAAAAAAACTGAACCGCTCAGCACCGTCATTTCACGCACCAGACTCCGATGGCTGGGCCACGTGTCACGCATGCCAGCCCACCGACTTCCACGACGCGCGTTGTTCGCTCACCGGGGATGTGGGTGGAAGAGGAGAGGTGGTCAAGCGATGACTTAGTCCAGAGGAATGAAGGCCTGCACTCTGGGGATAGCGTTGGTTGGAGCTTCACGGCTCCCTGGTTGGGGTCCAAAAGACGGTGAACACGTTTGGCTGGATACACTTGCTGACATGGCAAGGAGCCGAGCTCAGTGGCGTTCCTGCTGTGAGTTTCTTTGTCCCTTCCCATCCCTTTTAGCCTCCCCCTCCAACCACGATCTCATTTCGTAGGGTATAACATAATAATTTTTTGCCTAGTAGCTGGCTGGTAGCTTACCGGAACGATGCCTATCCGTTGCTGGTAGCTCAGCTGGCATTCAACTGTCGTATTTATTTTTCCTTTATGTACTGTATGTATGTATGTATTTCCTTTACGGATTGTGGTACAATAGCGGAGGTATTTTACCACCTCTAGCTGATATGTATAATGATGCTGATGACGAGCTTCAGTAGTAGCAGGAGCAACCAGTGAATTGTCCGAGGAAAAGTACTAGTCGCAGAACAAAGAGAGCTCACACGCTCGCTATTAAGTACATTTTTGGGTAATATATGCGAAAACAACTCCTATGCGTGTTTGTGGTAAGGGCTCCAGACCCGGAAGAGTTCAGTCATCCAGTACTCACATTGTAAGCCAAGGTGTAGTGATCATATCATCGTCTCCAGCTCAAACAAGCGAAGACATAAGGAAACAGATGACCACTGAGAAGTTGTACATAGCATGTACCGAAACGACTGAAGGTAAAAAACCTACCGACCGACGGCACTACTATCAATGTGCTGTTGATATGGAACGCCGGTAACGATCGGAAGAAAGCGGTGGCAGAAAACGTATCAGGTCTC